GGGTGACTCCAGACCCCCTGAGACCCTCCCAAATCCCCCAGACCCTCTCAGGAAACCCAGACTCTCCCCAATTCCCACAAAACCTCTCTGCCTCCTCCAGTGCCCACAGCTCTCCCTGGTGACTCTAACCCCACCAGACCATCCCAATGACCCCCTGAGACTCCCCCTAAATCCCTAAGGACTTCCCAGCTCCTCTCAGTGACCTCTTCAGCCCCACTGGTGACCTCAGACCCCCCAAGACAGACTCCACCCCACCAAATCACCCCAGCCCTGCCTCCAGGTCCCACCCAGACCCACCTCGGCACTCAGCCTTGGCCACAACCCGGTTCTGGGTGTCCCGTAGAGGGCTCCACATGCCGTTGCTGCGGCAGGTGCGCAGGGCTACGGGGTGCGGGTACTTCCCCTCTGGGCATATGTAGCGCAGCCACCGGCCCCTATCTGCCACCTCCGCCTGGCCCCCCAGGATCGGGGCCGCCTCCGGGTCACAGCTGCCCTCCGCTGCAACTGCCGCCCCTGGGGGGACACAGCATGGCCAGGGTCATGTGGGCCTGATCCTGGAGAGTTGGTGGGAACTCGATCCTAGGCCACCTGCTGGTTAAGGGCCCCGATCCTGGGGGCAGGGGGCCTGGTCCGGGGGGCAGGGGGTCGTGATATGGCCTGATCCTGAGGCAGAGGGCCTGATTCTGGGGGAGGCGCTGAGGGGGTCCTGATCCTAGGGACAGGCAGGAACAATCCTGAGAGGGGCTGGGGGTGCTGATCCAGGCCTGATTGTGGAGGTCTGGGGGCCCTGATATGGGTCTGATCCTGGGGGTAGTGGGTCCCAACACTGGGGAGGGCTAGGGTCCCAATCTGGGTCCAATCCTAGGGGGTAGGGGTCCCGATGTGGGTCTGATCCTAGAGGCAGGATCCTGGGAGGGGGCTGAAGGTCTCAATCTAAGCCTAATCTGGGCCTGATCCTGAGCATGAGGGCTGGGGGGCCTGATCCTGTGGCTTGGGAGCATTGTTCCACTTGGCTGTTGCCCCACCCCAGACCTGGTCGCATCGTGAGGCCCAGGAAGGACATTGTGGGGGTGGGGGTGGGGGTGGAAGGATCCAGACCCCACTGAGGGTCCCAATCCAGGCCTGATCCTGAGGGCTGTGAGAGTGTGTGTGTGTGTGGGGGGGGGTTGTTCCACTTGGCCCTCTCCACCCACCCCAGCATTGGTCGCATGCCCAGCACCCAGGGAAGCCCATGGCAAGGTTGGGGGTAGGGAGAGGTCCCGATCCAGCCCGATCTGTGGGGCAGGTGGGGGCCACCCACCGGAGCCAGCCGGGACCAGGAGCAGGAGGCAGGCCAAGATCAGGATCAGTGCCCTCGGGCCCATGTCTGTCCGTTCGTCCGTCCTCTTGCCCCGCAGCTGTCTCGTCTGTCGGGCTGGGTTGGGGCTGGGGAGGGAAGCCTGGAGGGGGGGCAGCCCTGCTCTTGCGTCACCCCCCTTCTGGGAAATAGCTCTGGGGAGGACAGGGGGGATTCCCCGCAGGGTGTAGGGAGGGGACCTTGCAGAGGAAGGGGCGGGGGGATGCAGAGAGAACCCAGGCATCCGGGACAGAGGGGAGGGTCACCCCAGGGAGAGGGGGAAGCAGGTGAGTTCTGGGAAGAAGAGACAGGGGGGAGGCAGAGGGTGCGGCCTAACCCCCCCCAACCCCTCCATTGGTTGCTACTTCCCTGTTGCCCCGGCCAACACCTGCGTTCCCTGGAACAGGGTGTGGAGCGAACCCAGGTGTCCGGGCACCCTGCCCAGGCCCCAGACCCCCTGCCAAAGAACCCTCCCCCTGACACGCAGCCCACGGGGTCTGAAGTTCAGACTGTGTTTGTCTGGTGGGGGTCGTTAACCCTGCACCTGGGGCACTGTCAGGGGGAAGCTCGCTGCCTAGGGGCACTATCAAGGACAAGGTCCCTGCCTCAGGGCACTGTCAGAGGGAAGCTCACCACCTCAGGACACTGTCGGGGGGAAGTGAATAGCCTTAGGCCACTGTCAGGGAGAAGCTCCCCACCTTGGGGCACTGTTGGGAGGGGAAGTTCACCACCTCAAGGCACTGTTACAGGGAAGCTCACTGCCTCGGGGTACTGATACAGGGAAGCTCACCACCTCAAGGTGCTGTTACAGGGAAGCTCACTGCCTCGAGGCACCTGTCAGGGGAAGCTCACAGCCTCAGGGCACTGTTACGGGAAGCTATCAGCCTCAGGGCACTGTCAGGGAAAAGCTCGCAGCGTGAGCACAGGCCAACAACCACAATGAAGTTCTGTGTTGACACCAGGACTTTATTGTTCCATCAGCAGCACGGGATGCTGGGAAGGGACTGAGCGCAAAGGACTGTGGGCCATTGGAGCAGAGCACAGGATGCTGGGTCGGGCCCTGGGATTTTGGGGAGAGATATGCTGGCCAGGTCACGGCTGCGTCTGGAGCAAGGCATTCTGGGATGTCAGGGGTGGGGGCCCCACACACTGTAGGGCATGCTGGGATGTTGGGGGTCTCTACAGCAGGGCATGCTGGGATGGTGGCAGTGGGGGCCCCTGCCCTGGCCCATGAAGGGATGTCAGGGGTCTCTACAGCACAATATGCTGGGAGTCTCTGGGATGGCGTTGATGGGGGGCACCCACTCTGGGGCATGCTGGGCAGCGGGAAGTCTTCTCAGCAGGGCATGCTGGGATGGCAGCGATGGGGGCCATTCCCCGGGGCATGCTGGGATGGTGGAGGTCAGGGACGAGGGGTCAGGCCGGGGGCAGGAAGTGGAGGGCGGGGCTGAGGTGCTCCCGCAGCCAATCCTGGGTCTGGAAGAGGCTGAGGTAGAAGTCGCGGGGATGGTGCCTGCGGGGCGGTGGCTTCCTCTGCATCCGCCCCTGGTTGTCAGGGCGACTCTGGGCACACGGGTTGTAGGTGCCCCAGCTGACCACGCCCACCTGCAGGACAAGGCGGGGGCAGGGTGAGGGACCCAGGCATTGACCTCTCCCGCTCCCCGCCCAGGGGACCCAGGAGTCCGGGCCAGTGCGGGGGCTGCACCCACCTGGAAATACCTCATCTTCTTCTCCACGAACAAGGACCCGCCGGACTCACCTGGGGGGAGGGGAAATTGAGGCCTGGGGGGGGCCAAGAGGCCCTGCCCCTATGGGCCAGATGGAGGGGGGGGGGGGGCCCCCCCCCCCCCCGGCCTAGTGCCCTCCCCCCCAGCCCCACCCCCACTGGTGCCACTATCCCAGCATGCCTTGCTCAGGGACTCCCACCTTCCCAGCATGCCTCATTCTGGCCCATGCCCTGCTCCCCTTCCCAGTATGTTCCTCCCTTCCCCCTGCCCCGCCTCTTCCTAGCATGCCCTGCTGACCCTTGCAGGTGGAGGCCTCAGGCTCGCCGGTGCTCTCAGGGCCGGAGCAGAGAAAGCGCTGCGTGACCACATCCGACACGTTTGCCTTGCCTGCATATAGCGTCCCCGGCTGCACTGCTCCCTCTGCGCAGTGTGCCCACTGTGGGGGGACGGGTGAGTGCCAGGGTGCCTTTCTGCCTGCACACCTGAGTCCCCTTTGCCCAGATACTGAGGTTCCCCTCCATCAAAGGGGCTGGGGGAGCCCAGATGCCTGGGTTTCCCCCACCTGCCAGGGTTCCTAGATGCCTGGGTTTCCCCTGACCCGCCTGCCTGGGTTCCCTCCAGCAAGGGGGCTGTGAGAGCCCGGATGCTTGGGTTCCCCCCTTGCCCTGATGCGTTGGTTTCAACCTGCCTGGACACCAGAGTTGCCACCCACCCAGACACCAGGGTTCGCTCTAGCGAGGGAGCTGTAGGAGCCTGGGTTCCACCCCACCCAGATGCTGGAACTGCTCCCGCTCAAGACACCTGGGTCCCTCCCCTCCCAGATGCCTGGGTCGCTCACCATCTCATTGGTCTTGATGTGCACGCTCAGGCGCTCATTGTCCAGAGAGATGAACTGGGCCGGGACTCGTGCCTGCCTCAGCAGTTCCACCTCTGCCGGATGGACGGACAGAGAGATGGAAATGTCAGGACCCTGCGACGGACCCCCACCCCATGCCAGAGGTGAGACACAGGGCTGCCCAGGAGAGCCCGGACAACTGGGTTCTCTGCACAGGGTTGGGGCTGGGGGATAGGAGTGGAAGGAGCTTGGGAGCCTGGATGCCTGGGATGGGGACGGGGTCTGGAAGCAGCGGGGTGGGCGCCTGGACGCCTGGGTTCTCTGCACCCACCGTGGTCCTTGCAGGTCGCCCTCGCTGGTTTCCTCAGGGCTCGGTTCGCCTCCTTGGTGCAGGGCAGACAGATTGGCCTGGGGGGTGGGGCTCATACTCATGGCCATGCCCCATCTTCAAGCCACACCCACAATCTCTAAACCAACCCTTACCTCTATGCCCTGCACTAAGCCCCACCCCTCACTTTCTATGCCCCGCCCACACTCTATGTCCAAACCCCATTCTCTAAGCCCCACCCCTTCGTATGCCCCCCACACCTGATGGTGGCGGAAAAGTGCACGGGTCTCTCCAGCTGCAGCAGGGAGAGGTCATAGTCATAGAACTCAGGGATGCCTTGGTCCACCTTGGCCCGGACGTTGTACTGCGGGTGGTCGAAGCGCTGCGCAATTTGGATATCCGTGGAGCCTGTCGCGGCCCCCAGGTCAGGATCGAGCCCGCCCCGGCCAGGATTGGGGCCCATCATGGATCAGTATTGGGCCCCCTCCGCCAGAATTAGGCCCCCACAGGTCAGGATCAGGGCCCATCATGGGTCAGGACTGGGAACCCACTCCCCAACAGCCAGGATCAGGCCCCCACAGGTCAGGGTTGGGCCTCTTGCAGCCAGGATCAGGCTCTCTGGTCAAGATTGGACCCCACAGCCAGGATCGGGGACTGTCATGGGTCAGGATTGGGCTCCTCCCAACAGTCAAAATTGGGCCCCCGCAGGTCAGGATTGGGCCCCCCACATCCAGGACTGGGGCCTCCCTGGCAGAATTGGACCCCAACCCAGCCAGGATGGGGTCCCCAGGTCAGAATCAGGGCCCATCATGGGTCAGGATCAGGCTCCCCTACAGCCAGGACCCCCAGGTCAGGATCAGGGCCTCACAGGCAGGTTCAGCTCACCCCCCAGTCAGGACTGGGACTTCTCAGCCAGGATGGGGCCCCAGCTAGGATTGGGCCCTCTCCAGGTCAGAATTGGGCCACTTCACAGTCCAAAATTGCCTCCCTCCCCACTCCCAACCTCCTGCAAGGGTCCTATCCTCCCACAGGTCAGGATTGCACCCCACCAGGATCAGGCCCATCATGAGTCAGCATCTGCCCCCCACCCCCAAGACAAGATTGAACTGGGTGTCCAGTGCCCACTCCCCTAGCCTCCCTGGCCTGATCCTGACCCATGATGGGCCCCGATCCTGACCTGTGGTGGCCTGATCATCATCACTGTGGTGGGGCCTGATCCTGATCCGGGGAGTTCCAGGGGACCTCTTTTCCCACTCCTACTGGACACTTGGGTTCCCTGGGTGGGGAGTGGAGACTGTGGGGTGGGAGAGAGTTGGGAGGCTCCCAGATGCCTGGGCCCTTACCTATGTTGACCCTCCAGAGCTCGGTGTCCTGCACGTTGTTGAAGCAGTGTGCAGCTGTCAGCACCCAGCGGTCGGCCACCAGTGACCCCCGGCATGACTCCCCCCGCTCCGGCTGCAGGGTCCGGGGGGTCCAGGTCAACCACCGTGGGAACCCTGGTGTCCAGGGTCTGTCCCCCACTTTCTGGAGAACCCAGGTGCCCAGGGAGCACTGGGTGTGAGACCCAGGCATCCAGGTGGCACTGGCCAGCCCTTAGGTAGGTGGGGGCTCTGGGGTGGGGTAGGGGACCCAGGTGTCTGAACAGCACTGCCTCTGGGTAGGTAGGGGGACCTGGGACAGGGTAGGGAACCCAGGCATCCAGGCTGGGGCCTATCTGAAGCCTTCAGGGGGCGGGGGTAGGACATAGGGAACCCAGGCATCCGGGCTCCCCCTTACCCTAATGACTACATGCCAGGGGTTCATCTGCTGGGCCGTGGCACCCTCTGAGTGGTTCCCGAGTCCACACGCCTCCCCGATGCTCTTCACATCTGGAGAGAGAGGGGGTGGGGTCAGCTCCGACCCCTCTCCTCAGCCCCAGGAGGAGAAGGGGATCTGGGATCTGCCCGCCGGGGGGGCAGTTCTATACCCAAGATGGTGTCCAGGGTAGTGCGGAGCTCCACGGGGCCATTGAGCTTGAAGGCATGTTGCTCCCCAATCTTCTTGGAGGCAATGGCGTTGAGGTCTTCCCACTCCACATCCATCTGCCCCACTCCAAAGGCATAGATGTCTGAGAGACAGGGCAGGTGTTGGTGCACCTAGGCCCCACTAGGCCCAGGCACCTTGGGAAGGGATGTCAGGAAAGGTGGGTTCCGTGGCATGGGGGCATTTGGGAACTTGCTGGAGCTTGGGGTAGGCAGTGGGGCACCAAGGACTGGGGTTGGGGCACCTAGAACAAGGGTTGGGGCACCTACAATGGGGTTGTGGCAGCTAGAACTGGTGTGGATGTACCTAAAACCACAGTCAAGGTGGTAGGAACCAGCATTGAGGTACCTAGAACTGGGATTGGGGGCACCCAGAACCATGGTCAATGCACACTGAACTCATGTTGAGGCATTTACCACTAGAGTTGAGACACCTAGAACCAGGATTGGTACATGTAGAATTGGGCTGGGGCACCTGGAAGTGGCTGTGGTACTTAGACCCAGGATTTGGGCACCTAGAATGGGTGTTGGGGCACATAGAACTGGTGTCGATGTACTTAAAATCACAGTCAAGGTGTCCAGAATTAGGGTTGAAACACTTAGACCTGGGGTTGGGGCCCCCTTGAGCTAGGATTGGAGCATCTCTAATCACAGTTAAGACATACCTAATTAGTGTTGTGGTATCTGGAGCTGGGGTTGGGGCACCTTACCAAGGTTGGGGCACCTAGGACTGGGATTGGGGGCATTTAAAACAGCAGTCAAGGCACCCAGAACAAGTGTCAAGGTATCTAGGATTGCGGTTGGAGCAACTACAACAGCAACTGGGGCACCTAAAATCTGTGTGAGTGCACCTAGAGTTACATTCAAGGCACCCAAAACTAGCATTGCGGTATTTAGGACTGCAGTTGGGGGCAACCAAAACTGGGATTGGGGTGCTTAAAATGGGATTGGGGTGCATAGAATGTGAATGAACCTACAAGCATGGTCAAGGCGCCCAGAATTAGTGCCAGCATATCTAGGGCTGGGGTTAGAGCATGTAAAACCATTGCTGGGGCATCTAGAACAGCAACTGAAGCACCTAAAACTTCAATTAGGGCACCCGGAACCTGTGTGGATGCACCTAGAACTGTGGTCAAAGGACCCAGAACTAGTGTTGAGGCACCTAGAATGGGGATTGGGGCACCTAGAGCCTGTGTGGATGCATCTAGAACCATGGTCAAGACATCCAGAGCTAGTCTTTAGGCACCTGGAACCAGTGTTGGGGCACCTAGAACCTGTAGTGCAAAGAGCTCAGCTCCCGGGCCCTGTACAGGGACTGGGGGCCCCAAGACTAGCACAACCCCCACATATGTATGGATGCACCTAGAACCACAGCAAAGACCTCTAGAACCACAGTGGAGGCACCTAGAATCAGGGTTGGGGCACCTAGAACCTGCAACACAAGGAACTCGGTGCCCAGGTGTTGACCAGGCACTGCGGTTCCAAGGGCTGGCTGAGACTGGCTGGAAAAGCAGTGGGTAGATTCCCAGAGTCAGAAGGGCAAGGAACCCAACACTGAGGCACCTAGAACTGGGGAGCTTCCAGTGTTAGGCCTCTGGTACCCAGCAGCCAATTGTGTATCATCTGGCTACTCCAGGAACCAATAAGAGGCCAGCTCTAGGATCAGCTTGGAAGCACCTCGAATAGGCATGGCCTGAAGACCAGCACCAAGACCCTTCAGGGCCCAACTCACCCAGGTAATCATTCCTGTCTGGCTTCACCTCCAAGACATCTTCGATTTTGGTCACAGCATGTTTTGGGGACCCGCCCATGTTGAATTTGCCTGAAACGGCATCCAGTGGGAGTGAATGGGCGGGGCTGGGTCCTTCTCCACCAGAATCCCACCAGGGAAAACTAAGTCTGGAGCCACAGAAGGGTATGGAGAAGACCTCTCCTCCCCCTGGCAGATCCTCACCATCCGTCAGCAGGATGACAGCATGCCTTACTTTCTTCCACTCATCCGGTTTGTTGGTTTTGGACAACGCCTCCTTCTGGAAGATGATCCAGTGATAGATTTCCTGAAGTGCATCATGGATGTTGGTCCCTGTCCTGTTGCCATGAGCTGAGGGAGTGAGGGAGCGAATCAGGAGACCTGGACACCTAGAACCATCATGGAGCCCCCCATAGCGGCCACGAAGCCTTTTGCTGGTGTTGATGCACCAAGAACCCACTCACTGTGGGTTTAGGGAACCTGGTGCTCCCATGAGGTCCTGGTTGGGGACTGAGACACCTAAAACCCACCCCTATAGCTACCGTGACCTCATGACCTGTCATGGCTGCAACCTCATGACCTGTCATGGCCATGACCTCACAACCTGTCACAGTGGTGACCTCATGACCTGTTGTGGCCATGACCATATGACCCATCTCAGCTGTGACCACGGCTTGTTGTGGCCATAACCTCATGGCCTGCTGCAGCTGTGACCTCACATCCTCTCATGTTGGGTCTTGACACGCCTTGATGCTACTGGATGGGAAGTTTCTTCCACCACTCCTCAGGGCAGGCAACTGAGTCACCTCCCTCCCCAAACCGGCAACAGTTGTTTCAAGGAAACTTCCTGTGTCCTCACTGGGCCATGGATGACTCTGCCGGCATCCTTGGAAGACCTAGAACATGGACAAGGAGAATCTAGAACCCAGCATGGCACCTTTCTTGCTCATGTGGTTCTCCACACGTTCAAGGACTTCGTCAGCATCGCCAGCTTCTTCTCCATTTATGGGAACGATCACGATGGGCTTGGATGCATACGAGATGATGGCAAATTTCACAGGCACATCAAAGCTGGCAATCTGGGGGTGGGGGGCAAAAGAGAAGGGAGGCAAGGGAGCATGGAGTCAAGGGGACAGGGCAGAAAACCAGGGGAAGACCCGCCTTGGAAAACACTGGGGGGGGCAGGGGCGGGTCTCAGAGCCTGACCTGGTAATTAGGTACCTAAAACCAACCTTGGGGCACCTAGAATGTGCTCTGGAGGCACCTGGGATTGTGACCTAGGCTCTGCTTTGCCGATGACAGCTCCCCAGGGAAGCCTGAAATGCCAGCAGTGGCTCCTGTAAGGTGCTGCGACACAACTGAGCCAATGAGGAGGCCCCTCTCTGGTTCCTGCCTCTGGGAAGGGGGTTGGCCTAAATGGGCCTGTGCAGATTCCTTCCAGTCCTACCTGTCTATGACTATGACCCTATGTATGCCCTCTGGAGGCCTCTTCTAGTCCAACATCTCTATGACTATCGTTCAATGATTTCTGGATGTCCCTTCTGGCTGCTGGATGATCAGAGTAGTGGCCAGCTGGACAACAGACCAGTGGTCCTTGGACTACTGGACTATAAGGCTACTTGACTAGACTATTAGACTAGTAGGCTATGGACTTCAGGACTAATAGACTAGGTTCACCAACACCCACCCGCAGCCACGACGGGCCTTGAGGCACCTAGACACAGTGCCAGGAAGCCCAGGACCACTCCCCACATCCACCTCAGGCTCACCCGGTCCACCATGATCTTGACACAGTCCTTGAAGACCTGGAAGTTGGCCTCACTGACGCTCTTGGAGGCATCCACGAGCAGGTAGAGGTGGAGGACACCGTCCTGGCTGAGGATCAGCCGCCGCTCCAGGGAGTCTGTCCCAGGATGTAGGGCAAATGGATAAGTGGGGCACTCAGGGTGAAGTAGGGGAGATGACCCCAGACCCTGCCCTTGTGGGGATGTTTTAATGCCCCCCAACTTCCTTTTTGTCCCCCCTAGGGCCTAAAAAAATCCTAGAGATTCCCCCCCTAGGGGTTTCATCTCTGATCACCCCCTTCTTCACCCCCCTGGTGCTTTGATCTCCCCCAGCCCCCCACCCCCTTGGAGAGGGGTCTCATCCCCGATTCAGCCCCTGATATTGACCTCTCACCCCTCACCCTGACTTAGGAGCTCTCCCTAACCTCCTCTCCCACCCCTGGGCAGTACTCACAGGTCTTGAGGACAGGCTGGTTTTGGTCGGTGGAGGTTGAGGAGGCCACAAGACCCAGGACACTAAGCAGGGATGCCCTGAATGAGGCCCTGACATCCTCAGGCAAGTCGTAGGAGAAAGGGACTGTGGCAGGAGGACAGAGCAGGGTTAGTATGAGGGTGGGAGAATGATGTCCTGGGTTTAAGGACATCTCAGGGAAGTGGAGCTGGGCTGGGAGGATCCACAGGGGAGTCT